AATGGTTAGATTAGGGACATGTTTCAATTAGCATACCTTATGCTTGCATCCATTCGTCTTGTATTGCATGCACCGAGGCTCGGCACATCATTCAAACTGCATTGTTATTTCAATAATTCTTTGAATACATGTTAACCGCATGTTATGTAATTGAATCATATGCCATATTAGTAGTCGAGCCTATTAATTGCATATTGCATGTGTTGTATTAGACATCTTGCATAGTTAGGAATCATGCATTTTTCTAACTCTTTTGTTTTATCTTAGCTTGAAGTACTAGGTGAGTTTTTAGTGCTTTAGCATACTTGCATGAGTATGAGTGATTGCCATGTCTAGCATGCTTGCCGTGAGGCTAAATGCTTATTTGCTAAACTGTTTGAATGCTTGGGGATGAAGGCTTAATGCTTGAATTGGAACGATTCAATGAATGTACATTTTAAGCCCACTTTGTTGAGTGGCAAATCAGTTTTAAGCCCACTATGTTTGGTGTCAAATTTGGAAACTTTAAGCCCACTTGAGGTGGCAAATTCAAACCCTTTTTCCCAAAACAAACATGAATTTGAATTGTTCCAACTTGAGCAAACTAGTCTATACTTGCTTGTGCGCATCACATAGTAAAGCTAGCTTAATAACTAGAACAAGAGCACATAATGTTGATAAACATCATATCATGATTAGTAGAGGCCGATCTTTGATTGGGCGAGCGGGGGTGCTCAATTCATGACCTTCCCCTTTCGTACCCAAGTTCCCGAGCCGAGACAACTTTGGTGATAACAGACACATGGCCTTTGGCACGAGTCATGGGTTTTCGAAATTTTTTCAAATTAAAATATTTAGGTGACGACTCTATATTTGGAAAAGCAGTCCAATTTTGGCATTTTTGATCCTAAAATCGATTTTTCAAAAGATTTGCCAAATTTGGACTCTTTGGTGTTTATCAATTTCACATTGTTCTTGTGGGATTAGATTCAAAACCACGGGAGTCCGAACTGTAGGGCTATCTTTTGAGATTCCAAAAGGGGGTGCGAAAAAGCTGAGCTACATCTACCATATGATAAGTCTAAGTTATTCATCATGTTTTATTTGGAAACATCGCCAACTTAGTTCAACTCTACCATATGGCAAGTCTAAGTTATTCATTATGTTTTAATCGGAAATATCGCCAACTTAGTTCAACTCTACCATATGGCAAGTTTTGGTTTTTCATTATGTTTTAATCGGAAATATCGCCAACTTAGTTCAACTCTACCATATATTCGCCATATTTCATTTGGAAACATTGCTAACTTAGTTCAACTCTATCATATGATAAGTATAATTCAATTCTACCATGTGATAAGTCTAAGTTATTCGTCATGTTCACCATGGGAACATCGTCATAAGACTTTTTCAGTCTTATCGCACAAGTTTTTCAACAATAATAAAAACAGAATCTAGCTAGCCTTTTATTGAGACTTCGTCTAATTATACATAAAACTAAAAAATAAAAAAATAAAATCTAATAGTAGAAATTTTTTAAATTACAAGTGTTTTAGGGTCTTGGTAACTCCTTGCCATCAGTATTTTGAAGCCGATATGCACTATTGCTAGCAACTGAGATGATTCGATAAGGCCCTTCCTAGTTTGGGCCAAGCTTGCCCTCCCTAGGATCCTTTTTTATTGTCAATGACTTTTCTTAGGACGAGGTCCCCAATCTTAAACTTCCTTGGGTTGACCTTCTTGTTGTAAGCCCTAGTAAGCTGCGGTTGGTATGCCCTTAGCCGAATTACTGTTCTCTCTTTTCTTTCTTGTAACAGATCTAGATCTCGGGCAAGGAATGCCTCGTTGATCCCATTCTCCACTCCCTGGGTTTAGATTCCAAGGATGCCGACCTCTAGTGGGATGACTACTTCAGTGCCATATGTCATGGCAAAAAAAGACTCCCTAGTTGATTTTCTCAGCGTAGTCCGATATGCCCACAACACATTAGGTAATTCTTCCACCCACTTTCCCTTAGCTATTTCGAGTCGCTTCTTGATCCCATCCAAGATGGTCTTGTTGGATGCCTCTGCCTGACCATTGCTCTGGGGAAAGCTGGGGGTAGAATAGTAGTTTTTGATCTTATACTTTGCACAGCAGCTTTTGATCAGCTCGCCGTCAAACTGGGTGCCATTGTTTGCCACAATGGCTCTTGGAATCCTAATCCTCGTGATTATGTTCTTCCAGATGAAGTTCTTTACATCAATGTCTTGGATCTTTGCAAGGGGTTCAGCCTCAACCCATTTCGTGAAGTAATTAGTTGCTACTAGCATGAACTTCCTTTGTCCAGTTGCCTGGGGCAGTAGCCCAACAAGATCCATGCCCTACTAGGCCAACAGCCAAGGACTGAATACTGGGTTCATATCTGCTGCTGGCTGATGTATCAAAGGTGTAAACTTTTGACACTTTTTGTGACACCCAAATTTTTAAATTTAATTCAATGCTACAATAAATAAAATTCCTTATTATTATAAAAATAAATAAATTAAATAAATAAAATTAAATAAATAAAATTAAATAAATAGAAACAAAACCAAGTTAGATTTCTGTGGGCCAAGGTTACTTCTGAGCCAAAGGTTAATTTGGCCCTTGGTAACTTCGTGAGGTTTTAAAAAAAAAAAAAATGCCAAAGGCCAAAACAGGTGGCATTACTCTTTAAGGGCAGCACAAAGCAACATTGCAAGATTTGGCTTAGGAACCTTGTGTGGTAAACAAGTTTAGAGCTTATAAATAGGGACTCTGTAGGATGTGGAAGAAGCAACGAAGTATGAAAGAAGCAACGGGCAACAAAATAGAAAGGGTCGGATAATTAGAGGGAGCGCGAGGAAATAATAACAAAAGTGAGTTATATTATACCTTGAGTCACCATAATATGTTTTATATATGTCTTGAGTTACCATAATATATTTTACAAATGTTTTGAGTTATCACAATATATTTTATGTAAGTTATGTTTTATGGTTAGGTTAATGTTTCAATTACGTAGATTAATGTTTTATTCGTAAAATATATTATACCTTGAGTCATCATAATATGTTTTATATATGTCTTGAGTTACCATAATATATTTTACGAATGTTTTATTATCACAATATATTTTATGTGAGTTATGTTTTATAGTTAGGTTAATATTTCAATTACGTAGATTATTTTCTAAACTCTATTTGCTTAAATTGAAACCCATGGATATATTTGTTTAAATTTTAGAAATTATTTGACAATGTTTTTATAAGTAATTATTTTCTGTAAATAATACCACGGGAGTCCCACGTCTTGGGGGACTTAAATAAACCATTGGCTTCTGTTTGGCCACCTTGTGGTCTTCTATTTATCATGGATCTATTAACCTCTGTTCTGTTTGTCACTCCAGTGACTTCTGTTCTATTCTATTATGTACCGTAGTCGTGGTTATTTACATAATTTATGTATTTCCGTTTCTACCATTTAAATATTTTTTTATTCAAACTAAGTTATATTAACATTTTACCTTAAAAGCCTATACATGGTTATTTTGTGCCTCTGTACTCACAGTATAATATTTCTCACTCTGTTATGTGCTTATAGTTGTTACGCCTTTCAGGTAACGAGATTTAGCAAGATCAAGATAGGGAATAAATCGCAGTTTTTATTTTTTATTTACTATTTGTATTTCTGATTGGACTCGTGTAATAAAATAAACAACCCAAATGACTATTTTCCTTTTTAATAAACTTCTGGTACCCATTTATTTTATTGCAATTTATTTAATTCATCCGTTGCGCTATTACTACATAAATTTTAGAATTATTTTACTTTTATCTTGTTGCGACGCCAAACCTTTGGGTACTGAGTTTGGAGCAATGGTTTTTATCAATATGAATTTAGTATATTTTTCTACTTTGTTCTGTACAATTATTCACATTATTTGAAATAATTATTTCAAACCAAAAAAAAATACTAATAATGATTTTAACTTTATATTATTATTTGATATTATGGTATGTGTTTTAAAAAAAAATAATTAAATTAAATTGTCTAACACAAGTAAACCGTGTTATAAATATTTCTAGGCTAAGTTTTCTTGTGTTATAGGAAATGGCAAACCTAATGGAGTTATTCTAGTTCGAGCCCCCAGGAGCTTATCTTATCCCGAACCTACTAGAGGGCTGGGGAGATTCAAAGAGTCTTATCAGGCAAGCCCACCTAACGCTTGATCGGCTCATGGGGAGACCAGTATACTTACAGGCTGACCCCGATGATGATTTCTTGTTTTGGAGACTTAGCCGAGGCAGCAAACGTGAGAGGTACATTAGGCTGACCTACGTTGGTGGTTATGATACGGACCTAAGACAACCGCACTTTCTGGTCGCACCTTTGCCCCTGGGCTTTGCAGAGAGAAGAGGGCACGCATATCCTAGCAGCCACATACGCACTACGACACCTCCTCCACAACATATTATCCATACCCCAGCTGTGGATTTCACTGACAGTGCCTCATACTTAGAGATACTAGTACGGATTACCAGACAGGAGTTTTGGGGTTATGATCATAGTGTTCCTGTCTACATAGTTCAGGTGGTATGGCGTTGCTTTGGAATAGAGCACAGTGGGTGGGATTTTGAATCCCTCATGCAGGGTGAGATTGCAGGGTTATTTCATGGTCCCGTTTTCCAGAGCCAGTTCTCATGGTGGCCTAACGATCCCTTCTAGACATCCGACCAAGAGATTTATTTTATTTTTTTTGGGTGACCTAACCATGATTTGTCTAATCTTGAATTTTTTGTATTAGTAGGATTAGACACTAACTCTTGACTGTTATCTAAGTATGGTGTACTAACATATTTTCTTTTGCATAAGTAAAACAAGTGTCGTGTAAATGATATATGTGCTGTTATAGGATCTTTGTAAATCATAGATATGACATTGCGATGATTAAATCCATAAAATTTGGTTCAAAGGGAATAAAAACACAAAAATTCCATTAATCATTTCACCTTATAGTAATGGCTAATGATGGAAATGGAATCGGATCGTCGGTCAGCGGTGTCGACCCAGTGGAGCAAATCATGGAAAGAGCAGTTATCGATTTTCTACGAGCCCTACAAACCAACATAAATAACGGAATGCCTGAACGGCGAGAAGAGCCAATTCAAGCCCACCCATTGGGCTATATGTTAAAAAAAATTAAAACATTTCATAATTAAATTCAATCACACATTAATTTTTTCCTCAATAAAAATATTGATATAGTATTATAAATTGAAAGATTTTGTGTATAAATTGAATGATTTTTATTAAATAAATTCTATCACACATCATCACAAACGTGAGTTTCAATAAAATCAACAAAGATAAAGTCTAGGTTGCAAAAAAAACAAAATTAATGTATTAGATTTAATTAATTAATTAATTAGTGCGCCAAGCCGAGTCAGGCTGATTAAAAGTATAAATTCCAAGCCCAGCCCATTCATATTTTCAAACAAAATATGTCGGCCCAACCCGGCCCTATGGGCCAAAACAACCTTCCCAAATCCTAGAAAAATAAGGCTGGGCCAGGCTGGCTAACAGGCCAATGTCCATTCCTAGGTAGCCAAAAAAATTTTAGTGACTAATGAATTTTGGTTGCAGATATCAAAACAACGCCGTTTTTTAGTGCCACAATCTCCAAAACAACTATTAGTCCCACAAGAGTATATGAAAAAGCAATAGACATATGACACGATTATCTTGAAACATGAGATGGAAAACATGAATAGATGAAAACTAAGACTCATGAAAAACAACTCTCAAACAACAAAAGCAAGATCATAAACCAACCCAAACAATGATATGATGATGTAAATACCAGGAACATGCAAAAAGGAAATAATTAGCAAACAATGCATAGCAACATGCAAAACAACTATAGCCAATCTCCCTTACCAAACAAATCAAAGTGTTCATGCTGTTAAACACGTATTCAAGTAAATGTATTGAAATACAATGCAGTTAGTATGATGTGCCGAGTCCAGTGCATGCAATACAGATGAATGGATGCACGCATGCAAGCATAAGGTATGCTAATCGAAATATGCCCTAAGACTAACCATCGTAAGCCGTTAAGTAAAACGGAGAAAGAAATGGGGGTTGGAAGACATGCATCACACACACGCACGCTTATTACAACAGTTGGCCCTCTCGACGGGGAGTCCAAATAAGAAGCTAACTAGCTAATCTAAGCTAATTAAACTAATAATTACATCACAAAACTAATTAACTAACAAGCTAACTAATTAAGTACAAAACAAAGCTAATTAACCTACAAGTTAACTAACTAGTTAATGAAATACAAATAAGCAGCTAAACGCATTAACTACTTAGGTACAAACCAAAGCATTAACTAGCTAAGCAAATTAGCTAAGCAAAATAGTAAAGCAAGGTCCTCGGAGGAAGAAGAGTGCGTGCATGCCCGGTCGCCTCATTCGGAAATCCGTTGCGATGCCCCGATTTGCCTCCGTTTGCAACTGTTCTCAGAACCTTGCACAAAGCTTCACAAAGCTTCAACTCTACCATAGGAACCTGTAGGAACATGGCCGACCAGTTGTTGATGGGGAAGACCACCTGCCGACCACTTTTCTTTGCTACAGACCAGAAAAAGTGGTCGGCCAGCTAGCTTTATTGGCCGGCCGACCAGTTTTTGTTGCACTTTTCCAGTTTGCTACAATAGAGAGCAAGAAAGGCCATGGCAATGTATTTGCAAGATATGTGTGCATAACCACCCTCTCTATCATTTCATAAGCTCAAGGGAGTGTGGTTCTCAACCATCGGGCCACCAATCACGCATCTCGATGCATGATGGCCGAAAGCCAAATTGCACAATTCAATGTAAATGAATGCACACATAAACACATAAAGCCTAGAACTCTATCATGTATGATCAAGAGCGTCAGCGATCGAGAATTGAAGCACGTTTCATCACTTCAAGTATGAAACGTCCCTCGTTTCTCGTATTTGGACTAACACCTAATCCAAACAAATGCAAAGCAAGTAAAGCATGCAAACATGCAATGTAACATGGCATACACAATGCAATCAACAACATGCATGCAAATATGCAATGCTAGGGACAAGTATGCAACAACATGCAATGCAACATGGCATACTCAATGTAATGAATAACATGGCATACTCAATGCAATATGATATGAACATGCAAACAACATGATGCAGTGTAACAACATTCACATAACATGCTCGATGGACTTAAAACAAAATGGACAGACCTCAGACATGCCCAAATCAGTGGCCATAAGATGAAACTAAGGCATGAAGATCAAGACAATGCATGCACAATGCAATGGCCCATCAACTAGGCCTAAGAGCACAACTCTCAAGAGCGCTCAAGAAGTGATAAACATGGAAGTGTAACAACACTATATACACTGAAATTAAGTAAGAAATGATGCCAAATCATTCAAACAACACAAATAAGGCATACAAGAGTCCTTGAGGCACAAAGCTAGTAAAGAGGACTACAAAGAGGGGATGCAATATATGGCACAAAGGCATGAACCAATCATGGACAGAGCTTAATTAGGTCTAAACAAGGACCAAATCATGCTAAGATAGAGGCTCAAAGGACCTAGACAAGATGGCATACATGCTAGGTCACAAATGAGGCAACAATGCACAACTCTTAAACCTCAATTAGAGAGTGATGTGCATGAGAATATGACAATGTTACATGCTCTGAAATCAAGTATTAAATGATGTCAAATCATTCAAATAGCTCAAAGATCGCATGCATAAGGCATCAAAACACAAGGCTAACAAGGCCAATTGCACTACAGCTATGTAATTCATGAAGCATATCGCAAATACAATCTAAAACAGTCCTAGAACATGTCAAAATGATACTAAAACATGTATGGAAGGAAGCCAAAATAAGCTAACATAAAGGGCCAAAACATGGATCATGCAAGGGCAATATGGGAGGATTACACTACACCTACCAAGACTAAGCATAAGATGGTTTCGCCAACAAAATTTAGAGTTATATTATGGCAAAATAACCCCAAAAACACATTGAAATGATAGCTCGCAAGCTTAGGCATGGGAGCATACGCAATGGCTCATGTTTAAGGCATGAAGGGCAAACCCTCCAACGCATTGCAAGAGTGACAAATGTGAATGTATGGCCATACTATATGGACTGAAATAACATTTCAAATGATGCCAAATCATGAAAATAGTCCAAATAATGCATGCTAGTGGACTTGATACACAAAGCTAACAAGCTAGAATGAACCATAGCTATACAAAGCAATGCATGCATGACCAAAATAACAAAAATCAGAGCTTAAGTATGCAAAAAAATGGACAAAAGCTTCTTGAAGTTAAGCCAAAAGCATGCTAGAAAGATAGCTAAAAGCAAGATGCATGTTAGGCTAATTCATGGAATTGCACAAGTGCAAGGAGCATGTAAGGGGCTATCAAACCAAGCCAAAACAGATCTAAGGTATGTTAAAACAACACTAAAAATCTACTGAAATGGACTCAAAACATGCTAGAAAGACATGCTCAAACATGAGGCATACAAAGCTAGTTTGTGAGAAATACACTACAAGTGTATAAGGCATGCAAGGGGTGACAAAACCAAGTCAAAATAGTGGTATGCCATGTTGAAATAAGGCCTAAAATAGGCTGAGATGTGGCCAACACAAGCTTAACAAACATGCTCAAACATGAGGCTAATAAAGCAAGCATTCAAGAACACAAGGAGAGGGGATGACCCTCTCCTATTTGGGACCTCAAAATACCATTTCCACCACTAAAATTCCTCTGGAATTTAGTGGTAGAAAGGTCATGCAAAGGCTAAAACAAGAGCCAAAATGGATGACTCAAAACAAGGCCTAACAAGGCCTAAGAGGGGGGTAGACCACCCCCAACACAAAAGTGACCTTAAACAAACATTTTAAGGACTAAAAAAAAAAACTTTTTGTAGTAGGAAGTCAAGCCAAAAATAGCATGCAAATAGGTTCAAAAGCTAAAGCAAAGATAAGAGTTTTAAGGGTTAGAAACTCACCCTTGATGAACACCTTCAAGGCTGCAACTCCAGCAACTTCTTTGAGCTCAAACCAGTTCAAAAACTCCAAAACATACCTCAAAGTGCCTCAACAACAAAAAGATGGTGTTTAAGTGTGTGTTTGTGTGTTAAAGTATGATAAAACTACACTTTAAGGCACAAAAATGAAGAGCAAGAGCAAGATAGATACAAAGATGTATATGTATAGCTCAAGTACAAAGATTTGAACCTGGAGGAGGAGGGGGGAGGTTCTCTCTTATAGAGAACCAAGGCTCAAGCTTGTTGGACAAGCTTTAGGCTTAAAGACATCCCTCCACGTGTATGAAGGATGCCTTATGTGCCTTCCAGTTGGCATAGTTGGCCTAAAAATATCTCCAAAAAGGTGATGAAAAGAAGCCGACCACTTGAAGTGGTCGGTCAGCTACTTGAAGTGGTCAGCCGACCACCACAAGTGCTCTCCCAAGAAGAAAACTGGTCGGCCATGGATAGGAGAAGTCGACACACTGAAAGTAAGCCAATGGTGTGGTGGCCGACCAGAAAAGGTGGTCCAAAGACCAAGAACACCAGTTGGCCGACCAAAAAACTGGCTGGCAGGGAGAAAAGTGGTCTCCAAGGGGAAGAACTGGTCTCCCACCCTTGTACCACCTTCCAAAAAAGGAAAACAAGGTTTGTACCAAAAACAAACCAAAAAGGATGCAAGACGAAAGTTCGGGAGGCAAAACGTGCAGCCGAAAGCCTCGAAAACTAGTCTACCAGCATCAAAAGTGGTCTATGACCACAAAAGTGGTCTCCCAGACCACAGTGTCCCTCTAGGCAGAGGCAACAAGGCATGGTTCAAAAACCAAGCCAAACAGAGAACATTAAGCAGTCCCGAGACAAGGCACACGGCCGAAGGCTCCGAAAATCGGAAACTAGTCTCCAAGCGGGAAAAGTGGTCTACAACCACAAAAGGATGGTCTACCAGACCTCTCCCACCCTTCAGGGAAGAGAAAACAAGGTTTGGTCCACAAACCGAGCCAAAGCACAAAGAGTTTAGAGGCCCGGAGGCAAGGCATTCAGCCGAAAACTCCGGAAACTCGAAACGAGCACAACATGCACTATCACCGAGC